ATCCCAAGATAATTGTTCCTTGAATGTCAGAATTGGGGTCAAAGGAGGACCAAGATGCAAATAGATTAGGTTATGAAAATACTGAGATGTTACTTCACTGGTTTGTTTTCAGTTATAGCACTTTTGCTTTGATGGGTTTTGTGTTTTGCAACTATCTTACTGTTGTCTCTCTTTAGAATGCTGCCTCTCACTGTCCAAGCAATATAAAAAGAGCACATTCAGTACAGACTTGAAAGCTGCTGTATGGAGCAAAGTGTTGTTCATGTAATATGTGAAAATGCTTGGTTCCTTTTTTGACAGAGTTTAACATGGGAGAACTTTGATGGAAGTCAAAATTGCAGACTAGATACTTGATGTTGAAAGCTGGTAGTTGGAGGAATAAGCCTGACAATAGATATGCTACTGTTAGTAACAGGTTATAAACTCCTTGGAGCAACGTTAATCTTTTCTAGTACGAACCTGATCTAGCATGGTCTGAACGAGAATGTTGTGTTTAATTAGCAATTATTTGTCAATCTGTTCTTAGTTTTTGTGCTATAAAATATGAAATGCAGCTGTCCGTTTTCAGTTTGGCTAAATCTTGTCAATAGATTTGTGGGCAGGTGCATGTATTTTAACCAATCCTAAATGTTTTTTCCTTCAAAATATACTATTAATTAGTTTCACAACTTTTGTGAGGGCTTCATTTGCTTGGCATTGTTTCAGAAAGCAAATAGGATTTTTGTTTTAATAACAAGTTTACTCAGCAACAAAGCTGAAATCTGGGACTTTATGATATAAAACTTGTAATGGTCTTATGGTATTTTGAGTATCACCTGAAGGACAAGAAAAATTGAGGTTGTTTTTTGTCTTCAGAGCTACAGTAGCCCATGGGCAAAGAATGAAACCAGGTAAATGCTTAAACCTTTCATGATTGAAGTGAGTTTTGGGGAGAGGATTGTTTTAATTCTTTTTAGTAAACTTCGATTTCCTTATTGGGATCTTAATGTTGTAGAATGCTCCCCAATCTGAGACAGACACATGTAATAATCTTAAGAAATATGAATTGTGAGTAGAAGATTTGCTTGAGATAAGTTAGATTAGTTTTAACTACTGATGTGTCTCTCTTCAGGTGTCTGGGCAACAAAATCAATTCTAAAAGGCAAGAAGTTTGGACCATTTGTGGGTGACAAGAAAAAAAGATCTCAAGTTAAGAGCAATGTATACATGTGGGAGGTAAGAAACAGCTTGTAAATGGAAAAAAAAAGTCAATATTTTGTATTTAGCCTTTAATTTTTCTGGAGATCTTAGAAATATGCGTGATGTGAAATAATTGCCATCTATTTATGTCTACCATTACAGTTATTTATAGATACTTGGATTGAGCAACCATTCTGAATTACAAAGCTTTAAACTATTGGCATTGTTTGAAATTGCTGTATTAATTTTCTTATATATTGTCTCTGGATCACACCTCCCCTTGAGACTCTATTGCTGATAAAGCTTTGCTTTGCTTTGTTGGCTTGAACTGAGTGATATCCCTTCTGCAACTGTGTACTGTCAGCTGCTTATGAAATTAGGAAGATATGGAACCTCTTAAAGAAGCCATAGCACTCCTCCTCACCTACCTCTTTGAAAACCAGCTTTGTTATGGGAATTGGTTTTGCTTTTGGAGTTTTTATAAACGTTCTCAATTGTTGCAGTATTTCTTGTACTGCTTGTGTTTGGGCTTACCTTAAAGCACATGCTGTCTGGACAGCTGAATAGCTCTGTAAGCTCCACTGGTAGTCATAAGACCTTGGATATTATATAGATTTCAAAATGTAGGTGTCTTAATCTGGAGTTGAACCCTATCTACAGTGTCTTTAAGGCAGTTCATAACTACTTCCAAAGACTTCTTCAGCCTTGCTGAAGACACATACAGCAAATGGCTTTAGCAAAGTAAATTATCAAGGAAGGGAGGGATGGAGGAATGGTGGCATAGCATGTTCTGGAACAGGATTTGCTAGTTTATGCATATTAAGGCTAAAGATAGTGATAGTAGTCATCTTTCTGGCCCCTGGCCTGCAAAAATTGAACTGCATAAAGCACTGGATACACATACAAAACCGAATCTTAACCGCTGTCAGAGGAATTGGTAGAGAACAATTTCCCATAGGTGCAAATTCACATTCAGGAAAGTAATGTTCAAGTATAATGTTTGTTGCATTGAGCTAATATTATCACAAACTCCACTGCATAAGGTATCTCCAATTTTGATCTGGTACAAGAACACTTAGTGAGATTGAATCAGTCAAGTAAATTATTGACCTTGCAATTGTTTTTCTTAGTGCTGGATTTTGAATGTTCTCAGTGGATATGTCTTAATATTTTTTAAACTTGTGTTGAGAAATGATAGTCACAAACAAGCTGTTATAAAGTTTCTTATTGCCCATTATTGCAATGCAGGCAATAATGGGAACCCTTGTTAGATTTCAAAGTAATTGTGTGTTGCTTTAATACTGATTTTGGAATTAGAAAAAAGCAGCTAAAATGAGACCGCAACAGTTGGCTCCATATGCTGATATCTGAAACCACTCCAGAATCTTAACTGTTAGAAAATATGGTTTGTAAAAGGATGATGGTGTGTGGGAGTAGTTAGGTATATGGACCTTCAGCTAGGAGAACGACCTTTTCCACAACAATCTCATTTGTTTCTTGAGTGAAGTTAATCTGAAGAAAAAGTAAGGCTCTAAAAGCTGGCATCTCTGGTCGATTTTAATAATTTTGAACTGTCATCCTGGAGGATCACTCTGAAAAAGATTGAGTTTTGTGCGTCAGTGTGTGCTTGCCATGTCTGAGGAGAGAAATGGAGACTTGAACATATTTTCATTTTCTGTCAGAGAAAAGCCACAGGCAGGAAAATGACGGCAAGTGACTGAAAACCGAGGGAAATGCCGTCTGCCTATTCAGAATGACTGGCACAACTGTGCTGAATGATCTTTCTTGTGGTTTACAGGAATCACTTCAAGTCGCAGTGCTATATAGAGGAGTTGGAGCTATTTCCTTTCTCGCAGTGCACATGGCCTTTAAACAATCTTCTGTAAATTGAGAGCTTTAACTGAAAAATAATAAAGTATTTTGTTTTGTGCAAAAAACGTAATGAAGTAATATAAAAATGTAATAAAGTAATATTTAAATAAAGTAATAAAATACTATGTTTTGCTATATATTCTATATCTGCTAACTCTTCCACAGCATTATTCGGCTCTTTTCTTCCAATTTAACCAAAAGGATTGCTTTTACCGTCTTGGTCTGTGAAGCTGTTTATGCTTTTATATTGCAAGGGATGGGTGTGCTGATGAACATTCTTTCAAAAGTCGGCTGATGAAATCCGTGCTGGAATAGTTTAAGGAAGGGAGATGTTTTCTCTTTGCTTAGAGAGAAACTAAGATGATATATTGGTATATTTATTGGAACTTTACCTTTATTGATAAAATTATGTTTTATTAAACCAACAGTGTATCAACACAAAAGAAATTAGATTTGTTAAATAGTTCTTGTTTTAAGCTGTTGAAGTATACTTGAAATTGAAAACATAAAACAGTTTGAAAAGACTTAGAGTTACTTGTAAAGTATCAGAAACAATAAAAAGCTACAACGTTGCGTAACAGAATGGGAAAGTTACGGTGAAATTCGAATTTTAGTTTATTCGTTATGTGCAGTGATGCTAAGTGAATGTTGGAGGAGGTGATGAGCTAGGGAGGCTGAGTTTTGCAAAGAGCTCTTCCAGGCAGAGGCTGATATTTATAGACTTGACCAAAAGGAAAACCCCAAATAATTAGATAGAATTAAATTGCACATATTTTTCCTCTTTTGTTTTTCTAAAAATCTGTGAGCTGCGCAGTACTTCTGGGACATTGTGTATCTGTTAGTATGCCTGTGTTCTGAGACAAAGTAATGTCTCGGAATAGTTCCAGTTGCTGAACAGTGGTGTGTTCTTCGATTTGGAAAAAAAAGTATAGCATCCACTGATAGCTCTTCTTACAGGCATCTAACTTGGATTATAATAAAAAAAGTGGGAGATATGTAACACGTCTTCAAAGAGGAGCAGAGTTGCCTGTCATCAGAAAATACTGAAGATGTCAGTAACCTTGCTTTATTGCAAGCTGTCTTGAAATGTAAAACAGGAGTAGGCGTTAAACATTTTTTTCTCCAAGAACAGAAACCAAAGAATATATACAGCATCTTGGAACATGCAGAAATTTATTGACATGGTCAACTTTTTAAGATGATCACAAGATTTCTGAAAGGTTAAGATTTTCTTTAATACCCTGAAAAAGGATTAAATATAAATTATGCTTTCCCTTATTGCTCCAAGTAAAGCAAATGCTTCTAACATCTATATAGTTATTATTCCCAATTCATCAGAGAGTAAAAAAACCTCTATTGCCTTTATATCTTAAAATCAGTCATTTTACTAAATGCAAAATCCAGAGAATCATTTCAGGCTTGCCAAACTGAAAAGAAAGCATAAAATGTTTTAAGCATTTCCACTTTTGAGCCCAAAACCTTCAGAGAAGGGCTTGCAGGCCAAAAGTTGGGGTTCCCCCCCCCAGTTGTACCAGTTCCACTACAAAGATTGCAGGTGACCAGCAACGCCCCCCCCAGTACAACCCCTTCCTTTGCTCATATCCTGTGTGTTATCTCTGTCCTTACGTGATAACCGCTCCTTTGTGTAGTCTTTTCGTGCACGGACACTTCAGTCTTAGCAGTTGTCCATTTGCTTATTGCCATTTTTGTCTCATAGGTGTATTACCCAAACTTGGGATGGATGTGTGTGGATGCAACTGATCCAAAGAAAGGCAACTGGCTGCGGTATATAAACTGGGCACGGTCAGGAAAGGAGCAAAACCTGTTTCCTCTGGAGATCAACAGGACCATATACTACAAAAGTTTAAAGGTATCAATGTCTGAAGAATCAGTTAACTGCTCTGTTACCTTTTATTATTAATAACTTTCTTTCCCCTTCATTCAAATCCTATTTTTTTACTATTTGTGTTAAACAGATTTTGAAACATTTTACGAAATACAATTAAAATATTGGAAATGCTACATTTCATTGGTCTAAATTCTTCTGTGCCAAGACAGTTGACACTAAGATCTACTGTTAAAATATAGGATGTGTATGAACATTAAGTCTGTCTTATTGGTTAATGATTTGCTGTAGTACCAAATTTGATACAGACTAGAATGAAGAACTATAGCCGATTACATGAAAGAAATGTTTTTCTATCTGACACACTTTCTACTGAGAATTTTTTTCAGAAATCAGTTATTTTTGTGGTCTTTGCATCAGATGACAAAGATTGGTTGTCAAGACACTTTTATAGGTAGCTTCATGAAACAATTTTTCCTGGTTTTACACCATTCCCATTTTATGCAGGGAGTGGGGGGCAGGAAAAATGGTGTAATTCCTGGGCATTGTATCTCCCAAACCAAGATAAAAAAATATTTAACTATAAGTAATGGTAGAATATGTTAGTGTTAGAATATTGTGGCTGTATATTTGAATATCTGATCAAGGACCTACTAGCAGTGAGTATATATAGCTCAACTTTGTTTTTATTCAGAATGCTTTTGTGGTTTTCGGGTCTACGCAGCCTTGCTCTTACACAATTGCTGTTCCTTGCATTTCCTTGTAAGGCCAACAACATCTATAAGTAACTGATCTTCACTTCATGAAAGAATGAGTTGATACGATGCAGTTTTGAAGTTTACAGGGCAGTATAGCAATATGTAAAACTTATATTTTAGGTCACTCAAACTAGATTGAAAAGAAAAAATCAAACAAATTCTAAACATTTTCTGAACTTTTGATTAGCTTTGAGGTAGCATTCAGGTAGAGGTTGACTATTGGTAGCCAGACTAGTGACTTTTCTTCAGTATTTATTCACTGAGGGCAAGCTCCCAGTGTGAATCTGTAGCCAGCTTAGTTTTTGTCTAGACACTTGACATTCTAAATTTCTCTCTCATTGAATCTTTTCTGCAAAGGTTTTAGTCCTGATAAAGACAGGCATTCACGTATTTCAAATTTGTTTTCTGATGGATAATATTGCACTTTGGAAAATAACTGTAGTGCTAAAAGAGGCTGAACACTGCTGACAGAACAGCAAATACCTTGCCTCAACATCTGAAATATCCTTTTGTTCCTTCAACTGTCTTCTCTTGTGACCTGATGAATTTTATCTTAGTAGGTCTCGCCAACAAGATCATGCTACCGGGCAGCTCTTTCTGAAGACTGTTAGAGCAGCCTATAAGGATCAGTTCTATTGGTTTTAAAATCTGTCTGGGATTTGTTGCAGTGCAGGATTTTGAGTTTGGGATGTGAGGCTCTTCAAAGAGCCATCTTCAGCAGGGCTTATTTGCCCCTGCAGCAACCACTGAGATACGTGCTGTGGGGTTATTAGCTTCAGTTCAATGTTAGCAATACCAGTCCTAGGCAAGTTTCTGGAAATTCATGTTGGTGTCTGTGTTTTATTCTAGTGTGAGGGTGTGTCACATCAGAAATGCCGTTACCTGCAGGCTTGTTCTGCACAAAGCCTTGCTGCTCTGTCTCTTCGGGCCAGGATAGAAGCAGCAGCTCTGAGTACTTTTGGGCTTGGGTGTCGCACAAAGCCGGGTGCTGGGACCTGAGCTGGTATAGAACCACCGAGTTGTTTCTGCCCTGTAGACTTAGTTCCAGGAACGCAGTGCAGACGTGCTCCAACTGGTTCTGCATGAGCCAAGTTGGGATGGCTTGTATTAGTAATCCCAGATGAGTAAATCCTGCTGCTCAGAAGTAAGGAAACTGTTTCCAGGACCAACTTAGTCTATGCAGCATTGCAACAGGGGTTCGGTGGTTCGCTCCTGCTGTTCCTTGATTGTCACTACATCTGTGACACAGGTAATTTAAGAGGTGGCTCTAGAAATGTGTGAGTTGCTTCACTATGCAAAACTAGGTTATAATGTAAACTTTAACTTTTCTTCATATTGGGGGGAAAACCCCTCACAAATCTGTAATAATGAATGTTTGTTAAAAGCACATACTGATATTCCAGTTATTTTTTTGGAACCATCTATTTCAATGTATTTTATTCTCTTCTCCCACCTTTTAGAGAAGTGATATGTAAGGAAAATTCTGATGTGGCTAATCTGTAATGATTTTTGAAGTGAAAGCTTGACATGACATTGGACAGTTTTCACTACCATTGAATATTCAGCAGTCAGTCAGCATACTGATATATCATGGCGAGATTTAGAAAGTCACATTTTGTGGGGTTTTTAATTGCACAAGTGGACTATTCTTGTAGCTTAATAGAAATATTTTAAATCCAATATTCTGTTTAATTTCTTGTCCATTCCAAGAATATGAAAACCAAAGGATTAAGCATGAAGAAAGCTTGTTTCGTTTATTGTTCTGTAAACTTATTTTTCATTATTTAAAGCTGTAATTTTATAGTAACCAGGCGTTTTAAATAAAGTTAGTGTGAAGAAATTGGAAGTTAAGCTGCAAGTGATTGACAGTGTGAGTAGAGGTTTAAAGTACAGAAGGGCATTTTGAATGTGTGGTCTCAAGGGCAAGTTACTACATTAAAGCATTTAAATATCGTCTGTTGTATCAGTTTTTACTGTTCTATACCTTAGAAACTGCAGGGTAAATTCATACCTTGGAAAAAAACTGTGTTGTTTTCTGCTTGCTTTACAAAATACGGTTCGTTAGATGTGTGCATTTTATATAAGGGTTTGGTTTTGTCTCACCTTCTGTATCAGAGGTGATTGTTGTTCTTTTAAGGTCCGTATCAGTCTTAGATTCACATCACACCTTACTGACAACTGAGACAAAAGAAAGCATGTAATAAATAACATCTTAAACGTCCTTCTCTTTCTGCATATATTGTGTTATGGTATATACACTGCCATTTCAGAACTGTTGTAAAATTACCAGCCCAGGTATGTACACATGGTTCCTTCCTAGTCTTTATCATAATTAATAAATTTAGGGGAATTTCATTTGGTGATAAATAAACAGCACAGTCTTTATTTATCCCCAAAAGAGAATTAGAGTGGCTTGTATGTCATTTTGTTCTGCTTTGCCTCGAAGCATTTAAAATGTTGTCATAGCTATTTATTTTTTTTTCCCAAGGTTTTCTTCAGCTTTTTGTGGGTTTCTAATTTGTAAGTTAAACAGGGTGATTTCCAAAGCTTCATTGCTAAGATAAGCAAAGTCCAAATTTGCTTGGTGTAAAAGAACCTCAAAACTGCACAGAGCTTTAACTTCCCTGTTCTCTGCTGTCAATGAATAGTATAATAGGATAGAAATTTTAAGTGAGCACAAGCAAATATTTTTCTCTTCCATTTTCTCTTCATCTTTGCTGAAGGACTGAGGATAGTTATAGGCTGCTTTGCATATGCTTTCCCAGGGATGCATATATGAGAGTTGTGATATTTCGATGAAACAGCTTAAACTCATTATGGGGTTTCAGATGTTCTTCCTGCCTCTCCTCATGAAATGAGCTAGTTGAATAGTGTTGTTTTGCATATAGTACAGGACTTGAATTCTTGAAGAAGTAAGATTGCAGTGAAAACTCAGTTTCAAAAAGTTTTCTAAATAAGCTTGGCCGTGAAACCGTCCTTGATTAAGGTGAAATTAATTTTTTTATGGAAGAATGTTTTGTCAAACAGGTTTGTAACACCTCAGGAACCTCGCTGTTACATTGGAGTGCAATGTAACATCGAGTTATACAGCGTGAAAAATGCACACAAGTACTAATGCCACAAACTGTCCACTGTCGTTACATTTGGGGAGATAAGGCCACATCCAGGCGCAAAAGCACAATATTGCAGTAAATTGTAGTGTCTGTGGTGAAAAATATATGCTCTAAGGTCAGAGAGACAAATGCCTATCTCAGTGCGAGACAGGTTGCAGTGCTTGTACGTGTGCAATGAATTGGATTTCAGGCAATCTGTGCTAGAACTTCTAGGATATAACTTGTTAGGATGTTAATCTTGAAACTAACAAATTTTGAAATTACTTGAAACCTTTTGAACAGAAAATAGATTAAGGAATGCTGAATGTTGCAGTTAAAACATAAAACACCAAAAAGCATATGGGAGTTATTAACCTAACGAGCCTTTCCAAAATTCATACCTTTTTTTAACCAAGCTATCCCAGCCTGACGCTACTACACAGACAATCTGTAGGTAATTGTTTGGAGGAGGTTGATTTTTAGTGTTGTTACTAGAAGGTGGTGTCAGTAAGAGATGGCTGTGTGTTCTCGGGTTGGAGTAGCGGTAGAAGTGGCGCTTGGTCAGTGTAGTCCTTTTCTTGTTCATATCGCCAGTGAGGGAGCCGGTTTGATTGTCTGGTGTTGAAGCTGCTGCTGCATCTCACTTTAGAAGTACATGGTTAGAGGGCTTAATTTAGATTCTAGAGTAGTTTCACCAAAACTAAATTCATCAAGTTGAATGTTAGTTGCAGCCATGCAGCTAACAAGTTACGTGCTCGTTATCATCCTGTGTTTGCATTGCTACCTACAGTTTTTGCCAGCTCTTTTCTCTGAGTTTGTATATTGTTCAGATGCTAAGTTGTTTGCATCAGACAATTTCTTCATTCCTTGCTGCTAAACGGCTGCAAAATTGGGACCATGCAAATAGTTTTACCACTATTTATCCTATCAGGCCTCCAGAACTGTTAAGGAAGCCAAACCGTAGGCTTTGCTTATATTAAACACTTAACGTAGTTGTTGGGATCTTGCATCTCTTGTTGTTCCAGTGTCTGGGGGTATAAAGATAACTATCACCTTTATCAAGTGCTGTGAGAGCTTCTTAAAAAAAAAAAAAAAAGTGCTTTAGAAGAAAGAAGTATTACTATTGTTCTTGATACAAAAGTTCCCTTTGGCTTCAGACTTGAAATAATAGTGGAAGGATACCCTGTGCTCTAACGTAATGGCTCTAAAAATAGTCTCTTGTTTCCACAAGCCCAATGTTCATTAAGCCCTGGAAAAAGGGGGATTCGTAGTTAAGGTAAAGGGTGACGTTTAAGTTGATTTTTCTTGGTTTTGGGTAGAACGCTTCGTAACCTGGAGAGATAATTCTGAAGATTTAAAAAATGGGTACAGGTACCCGTGTAGTCTGCAGACTCGGGGACTTACTGGGCTGAGTATGATCAGGAGCGTGTGAAATAACCAGAGCGGTGGTATCGATCGGTTTGGTGCCGAGAATATGAGTAGTAATTGCAGCCATGCCTACTTGACTAATTTGGTCTTTCCTGTGCTTTTTTTGATTGGATTAAAAAAAAAAATTGGAATGGGAGACAAAGCTTTCATTATTGTGATTTAGTGGATCTCCCAAACTTGTCATAATTATCTGTGTTCCTCTGTACTCCCTTTACTCTCAGCGATAGCTTTTCCCCGTGTCTTTAGATTTTTGTTCCAAATTCCAACTTCAGTGGATGCCTGAGCAGTTTTACTCACTGTTTCATGCCTTGTGTAAGGTAGGTGTGCTGGCTCCCCGGGAAGAGTTACGCTGTAGATAGCAATAGCAATAAACACCGGGGAGCTCGCTGCTGTGGGGATGTAATCGATGTCACGATTACAAATCGTGACAAATCAGAACGTTGGGGTGTGTAGAGTGGAAACTTCAAGTCTGTTTAATAATCGTGTGTTATTGCGCAATCCATCGATAATCCCTGCGGACGAGGCCGCTTTCTCGGGGGGCAAGGCCCCCCCGTTACGGTGGGGAAGAGGTTTGG